GAAACCCCCTTTCTTTCCTCTTTTAGCTACCATGACACTACTCATAATTATTGCAGCAGGGCAGGACACTGGCTCTGGGCGCCACAAAGATTCCTTGCTATGGGTCTCCCTGGAAGCCAAGAGTTTTGGAAGGTTAAGGATTTTAGCCCTTTGTTCATATAGCCTTCCTAGTACAGCACAGGGTGGGATAAGGGTACTGGTCTTTGAACTCATCCTTACTCTCCTTTTTAAAAAAWATTTAAAACAAAAACACATATACACCCTGTTGTACATGGTAGGCCTAGGCTAATCTGGTGAAGGATGGGTCTCTGTAAAGCAAGTTCCATGCCCTAGCATTAGACAACCATCACTTAACTTTGGCTTCCTCTCTGGGCCTGCTACCTGGCTCCCACCTCTCAAACTTCTCTGCACCACTTTTTTTTGTTTAGACTAATTTCCAGTTTTCCAGTACAAGGAGATCAAGTCATGGGGCAACTCAATTAAAACCTAGTCTCCTATGAAACATTTAAGATGGAGGGGGTTTCAAGAGGACAGTATAGCAGAAAAKCGAGCTCTAATTGGCAGAAATGAGGTAATTCAATAGGCTGTGCACTCCAAATGGTTGCTCTCCATGGTGATAAAAATAACAACAAAAATTATTCCTGCTGTGCAGACCTGGAGCTGCTGCCACCTTATCCCTGAGATTGCTCATGTACCTGAGAACACAGTGCAGGAATGAGGGCCTTAGATTAAAATATACAAAAATACAAAACCAGAATATTTATATTAAGGGGAAAAAAAAGTTAAAATGCATAAGATACGTCATTCGCACACAGATAGTGCAGTTGGCATCCTGGAGAAAGTGGGACCCAAGGTGCAGTTATCCAAGGGAGCAAATAAATAAAATCACATTGGCCCAGAAAGRGTGGGAGTGAGCTAGGAGCAGTGGGTCTGCAGCTGTTTCCCCAACCACCCCTTTTGCCTAYCCTCACAACCCATGACTTGGGACAGTTTCCAGCACTATATTCCAAGATTGGATTGTGAGGAAGGAAACAAGATGTAAAAACCCTGCTTTGCTCCTGAGATTCTCCCACAGAATGTGGTAGTTTGTGGGTTGGGTCCATTCATCTGATCTTCTGTGTTAACTGTTTCATGCCCTGGCAAGGGAAATATTATTACATTTCCTTCTTTGAAAGGAAAACAACCTCCCTATCCAGGCCACTTTCAAAAGCTAGAGGTTTTGGGTGAAGACTCAGATAAAGCACACAGGTTTTAAGGTGGCTTTGCCCCAAAGCCCTTACTTGCATTTGATAGAGCATGGTTGGAGTTCCTCTGCCTCGCCCCTTTCCCCCACTGAAAGGGAAGATGGGATGATGAGGGGAACCCCTGCCTAAGAAACTTGGCACTGCCAGCTACCCCCAACCCACCCTTATCCCCACTTTCTCCACTCTGCCGAYTGATGCCTGCTCCTTGAACTCCTGATAGCAAAAGAATAGCCCCCACCCACTATGGCTCAATTCTGGGCCTCTGCAGGGAGCAGGGCAGGGCTGTGGATCTCTTCTTCTTCCTCMCGGAAATAGGCTGGCTTGCCCTGGGAGCTGGGCGCCTGCTGGGCCTTCAGTGGACATGAGGCTACCATATGATTGATGCTTTGGCAGAAGTGGCACTTCTTGGGCTGGGGTGGCTTGCATTCCTTGGCATGATGATCTAGCCCACCACAGTTGTAGCTCCCGTCTCCTTTGGATCTGCGTTTTTGCATGTTCTTCCCCTTTGGCCGCCTCTCACTCCCAATACAGAACACACCACCAGGGCCAGTAACACGGATGGATTCCAGGCCCTTGGCAGACTTCTTAAAGGTAAACTCCACTGCCTAGCCCTCCTTCAGGCTGCGGAAGCCCTCCATATGCAGCTTACTCTGGTGCACAAAGACGTCCACTGGGGGGTCGAGCGCGACCCCAGCGCAGGCGGTCATGGACGGGAAGCCAAACCCCATGCGCACGTTGAGCCACTTACTGATGCGGGCATCGTGCAGCAACTGCGGTTGTCTGCTGCCCGGGCCACGTCCACCGGCGCCTCCTCGGGCGCCTTCTCCACCGCTTTGGTGCAGCCACCTGCAAACTGCTGGTTGGACACGGAGCCCATGGTCGTCTGCTGAGCCCGTGGCCCCGGGCCCTTAGTCAGGCGGCTGCTGGCCCCAGAGAAGTCCGCAGGCAAAGGGGTGGTTCGGAGAAGAGGCTGCTACATCTTCCCCCCAAAATAAAGTCTTTAGATGACAACACAACACATAAATCATCTCAATCTTCAGAATCAATGAATGGCCAGACATGGTAGTGCATGACTATACCAGTGGCTCAGGAGGATAAGGCTGAAGGATAACAAGTTCAAAACCAGCCTCAGCAACTTAGTGAGGCCCTAAGCAACTTAGCAAGACCCTGTCTCAGAATAAAAAAATTTTWAAAAGGCTGGGGATGTGCCTCAGTGATTAAGCACATCTAGGTTCAATCCCTGATACCAAAAAACAAAACAAAACAAAACAAAAATTACTGAGTAAATGAGATACTTCTAAGGAAAAAACAAAGTATTCTCATCCAGTTATTCAACAGAATAAACKTCAGCATACAATATATTTTGTGATAAGAATCTTTATCATCTCACTCTGATAAAAGGATGTATTATAATATTCTTTCTTCTTGATGTGCATTTGCCAAAATTTAACAGATATTTGTTATGTTAGAGTCAGAGTCTCTCTCTTTCTCTCTCTCTCTCTCTCTCTCTGGTAGTGCTGGGATTGAACTCAGGACTTCACATATGCTAAGGACATGCTATACCAACATGCTAAATTCTTATTAAAATGTATTATGAAACTGTACTTTTTAAAAATATTCATAAAATGACTTAAAATATTTAAAAATGATAAAATTAAGTCCATGGGACCCAAGTGGTAAATGGTTATGACTGTACTGAAGATACTGCTAAAAGAAACTGAGGAAGATACAATTAAATCAACAGACTTCCATGTTCATGGACTGGTAAACTTAATATTGTTGGGATGTCAATACTACCCAAAGTGATCTACAAAGACCCAATGTATTCCCCATCAAAATCCCACTAACACTTTTTGCAGACATAGAAAAATCCACCCAAAAATGTATATGGAATATCAAGGAACCCCAAATAGCCAAACCAACCTTGAAAAAGAACCAAACTAAAGATCTCACTTTTCCTTATTTCAAAAGATATCACAAAGGCTGGGGTTGTAGCTCAGTGGTAGAGCACCTGCCTATCACATGAGGCACCACATAAAAATAAATAAAGTTATTATGTCTAACTATAAATAAAATTTTTAAAAACTCACAAACCTACAACAAATAAACATTGTAGCGCTGGCATAAAAGCAGACATATATACACTAATGAAACAGAATAAAGAGCCTAGAAATAAACCTTTGTATACATGGTTAAATGATCTTCAACAAGAGTGCCAATACCACTCAATGGGGAGAGGAGAGCGGCTTCAACAAATGGTGCTAGGGAAACTGAAAAATGTAAAAGAATAAAGTTGAACCCTTATCTTACCTCCCTAAACAAAAAATAAACTCTCAATGGATTAAAGACCTAAACTTAAGACCCAAATTATAAAACTCATAGAATAAGATAGGGGAAAGTTTCATGGCATTAGATTTGCTATTGATTTGGACAAGACACCAAAGGCATGTGCAACAAAGTAAAAAAAATATATAAATGGGACTACATCAAATTTTTTAAAAAATGCACCAAAGAATACGATCAACAGAATGAAAAGGCAACCTACACAATAAGAGAAAATATTTGCAAATCATGGGTCTATGAAGAGATTAATATCTAGAATATACAAAGAACTCCCTCAACTAATCAACAATAAAACAACCCAATTCAAAAACTAAGGATTTGAACAGACATTTCTCCAAAGATGAAACCATCARTAAGTACATGAAGATGCTCAAACTCACTAGTCATTAGAGAATGCAAATCAAAACCACAATGACCTCCATGCATGGTGGTGTATGACTGTAATCCCAGCAGGTTGGGAGGCTGAGGCAGAAGGATCAGGAGTTCAAAGGCAGCCTCAGATACTCAGTGGGGCCCTAAGCAACTCAGGAGAGAGCCTATCTCTAAATAAAAAACAAAAAGGGGTTGGGGATGTGGCTCAGTGGTTAAGTGTCTCTGATACCAATCCCTGGTATAAAAAAATAAAAATAAAAATCTATAATGACCTATCACCTCACACTCATCAGGATGATCACCAGAAATAAAAAGAAAATAACAGTGTTAACAAAGATGTGGAAAAACTGGAACCTTTGTACACTGTTGGAGGACTACAAAATGGTACAACCACTAAGGAAAACAGTATGGCAATTTCTCAAAAAATTAAAAATAGAACTAACCATATGATCCAGCAATTCTATCTCTAGGAATATATATATTTAAAAAATTGAAGGAGTTTCAAAAGAAACATTTGCACACGTTAATAGCAGCACCATTTRTAATGGTTAAGGTGGAATTAATTCAAATGTGCATCAATGGATGAACAGATAAACAAAAATGTGGTATATACATACAATGGAATATTAATTGGCTTTACAAAGGAAGGAAATCCTGACATATGCTACTACAACATAGATGAACTTTGAGGGTATCACATCAAATCAAATACTCTAGTCACAAAAAGACTGGATGATTTCACTTATATGAGTAGTCAAAAATAGAATGGTGACTTGCTGGAGACTGTGAGAAGAGGGAAAAGTAGTTGTGTAAGAGGTACAGGGTTCAGTTTTGTAAAATGTAAAAATTATAGAGATTTTTTGCATTACAATGCAAATATACTCAAAACTATTGTACACTTAAAAATGGTTAAGATGCTAAATTTTATAAGTTTTCTACCACAATTAAACTTACTTTTAATTTTAAAAAAGAACAATATAGATCATTCAATACATCATCTTTAAAATTAATGTATCACATCACAAATACAGATTAGCTGAATAGGACTATGCTGGCAGTCAGAAAACCCCCAAATAACAAATACTGAGGGATGAGTAATCTGAATAGTCACTAGTTTTCTTCCTTCTTTTGTTTTATTGCTTTTCCACAAACCTTTGTGCTCTTTGCTAGCACTATATCATACATTTCTTCAAAGCACTGTATGATCAACAATGAAGAATAATTATCTTCCATCTCTAAAAGGAACTTAAGAGAAACAATGCACAAGGGATTTAGCTTAGGTATGCCAAAAAACTCCTTGATAGAACACACCTTTATATTTATGTGTGTGTGTGTGTGTGTGTGTGTGTGTGTGAGTGTGTGTGTGTGTGTGTGTACATACATATATTTGAGGGGGTGCTGGGGATAGAACACTCAGGGCCTTGTGTATGCAAGGCAGGCACTCTACCAACTGAGTTATATATCCCCAATCCCCATAGCTTTATATTTTTAAAAACAGAATTGAAATTCTGGGTTTCAAACAATCCTGCTTTAAAATAAGAACAGACTATGTACTTTTTATAACCCTTTCAGCTGTAATCCTAAGGGAACAGAACCAGGGAAAATAGAGTATCAAAGTGACTTTACATCACAAAATTAAGGAATTATCGGATTATAGCACTGCCACATTAGAATAAAAAGTCTAATGTATAGTAATACTGGCCACTATCAAAATAAGAGAAAGAGTGGAGCAGGAAACATATAGTCTTAAAAGTTTAGATTCAGTAGCTTTACTTTTCAACATGCTCTTAAAGTTCATAATTTATCAACTTTTGTGACATGTCACTTTTCACATTTGTATAGATTAAGTTAAGATATTTTAAGTTAAAAATCTTAGGAGGGTTCTTCTACTGGCGAGGCCAAGTAGCTCCTAAAGGACCAATCCTCCAACAGAAATCACCATAAAACCCTTAAAATATTTTAAAAATCAAACTACCAAAAGGAACTGAGGTCAACCAAAAGCAGGCAGAAAATGGAGGAAGAAAGAGCCAATCTGCAGTTAAAACTCAATAAAATCCTCAGTGTGTCTAGAGAGAAGAACCAGAAAACAGAGAATGGGGCAACCACATGGAAAGTGAAAGTAGGAAACTCTATATAAATAAATTTGATCAGAGGTAAAAATTCTGCCCAAATCTCTTGCTGCCTTAAAATACTCATGAATAAAAATGCTCCAAGAAGGGCTAAAAGAAAAGAATGGATTTGTCATATGCTGCTCATATGTAATATACATCAGTATAACTTTTATTGACAGCAACTTCAGCATACCGAACAGCCAGCCTATTCAACTAATGCTTTTGTGCTTTCATGCAATGTCTACTAGAATTGTTGAAGGAGCTCTTGATTACAAACACAACTTGACAAAGAACACTAATATCGTTGAGGAAAAATTTTCAGAAATATTCTGAAGAATCAAATAATCATACTACTATAGCAACAAAAGAGAGCTAAGTTACACAAAGATGGCTACCCTCTTTCCTGCTCTATGGCACAACACATATTTCAAGTCTCTGAGTGGCTATAAACACACACACACACACACACACACACACACACACACGTGCGTGAATGATAGAGGCTTTAAAAATGACTTAAATATTTTAAAGTTAAAACCAAGAATATATTTTTTAAAAATATTTTAAAACATTTTTCTATTAAGACACAGAAAGAAAACAGAGGTTACCTTGACAGCTTTCTGGGAATTGGGCAGTCCTTCTTCAATGTCTTCTAAAAGAATTCCTCCTAATCCTCGCTGGTCATGCTGATCTAAGAGCCTAAGTAGGGCCTTCTTATCTTTCAAGTTGTACTTGGGCTTGAAGGCATACTTCCCATCTACTACTTTAATTTTGGGATTGTTGACTAATGCCTGTAACAATGACACCATTTGAGCATATCAACAAAAGGAAACCTCATATGTGTACTATTTATATACATTTTTTGAAGAGAAATAAACCATCTTATCCTAAGAGTTTTGAAGAAAACTGAACCCATATTCTTRTGGAAGACAAAATAAAAATAAAACACCTATTAATATTAATAGACAAAGTGAACCCATCCCACCTCCAAAGTATATATATGCAACATGAGAAACATTACTCTGGGATGAACAAAGCAATAGTCAGTCCTCCTCACCTGGTTATCACTGGCATTAGCAGCTGTGGAAGGAACTAAAAAGAACCAGACTGGTACATATAAGAATTTTACCTATAATGCCAGCTTGAGAATGAAACTGAGTAAGAATGCAGGAATTACTGAATATAATTATGCTCCTACTCAGTTGTTTTATACAGCTAATAGCAGAAGGAAAGCTCTCCAAGAAAGAGCAACTTTACTTATTTTCTTCTGCAGCTGTCAGTCTGATCCTGAAAGGAGAAAGAGAAGAAATGCAGAAAGGAGAGAGAATAAAATAACAATATAATAAAAATAATCTTTTATGTTGGCAAGTCCATGAAATTTCCGTATTAGATAAACCAGCAATTTTAAATGTGGGTTACCATTATTCTACACCACTAATATCTACTACCATTATGCAACATTCATGCAAGCTGATTTAGACCAAATACTTTGAGGCTAAAAATCTTGACAGTTATTTTTCTGGTAATAGCCTAGTAGCTTCTAAAAGACCAAGTACTTCAATGATTAACTGGTTCATTTAATATTATGAAAATGAGGGGGCTGGAGTTGTGGCTCAGAGGTAAAATGCTCACCTAGCATGCGTGAGGTACTGGGTTGGATCCTCAGCACCACATAAAAATAAAATAAAGACATTGTATCCACCTATAACTAAAAAATAAATATGAAAATGAAGAGCTGTAAAATAAATTTAACTGAATTATATTTTAGGAATTTTACATTTGGTCTTTTAGAATCTTACTGGTCCTGGAAAGTAGTCTCCTTTGTTGTCATTTAATATATAAGCCCAAAAGAAGCAACTATCTGAATGTTTAAAATGTTACTCATATCCCCCACCTCCATAAAAATAAATAATACAAAGTGCTATTCATTTCCAAATTACCACCATCAACAGTACTAGAGTTACCCACAAGGATGGATGTATGTTCATACACAATATTCATACATAATCATCTTTCTAAGTAACTTTCTAGAGGTAATAATTTAAATATCAAGCCATAATAGTAATAGTAGTAGTACAAAGCATCTTGCTATCCCTATGGTACCTAATGCTTTAAATTTCCCAAAACAAAAATATAATTTACAAGCACACAAATTATAAATTTAGCAATTCAAAATAAACCAGTTATTCTGTAAAAATGAAAGTGGAATTGGTATACTGACTTCTTCAAAACTTTTGCTAGTCTTCAAAATTTTTAAGGGCTGAGGCTATAGTTCAGTGGTAGAGCACCTTCCTAGCACATGTGAGGCACTGGGTTTGATCCTTAGCACAACACAAAAATAAATAAATTAATGAAATAAAGGCCTTGTGTCTATCTACAACTAAAAATTTAAAGAAAAAAATTTTTTTAAACATCACACACAGTGGGGCACACCTACAACACCAGTGACTTGGGAGGCTGAGGCAGGAAGATTGCAAGTTCAAGATCAGTCTCAGCAATTTAGCAAGACTCTGTCCCAAAATAAAAAATAAAAAAGAATGGGGATGTAACTCAGTGGTAAAGCATCCCTGGGTTCAACCCCTAGTACCAAAAAAAAAAAAAAAAAAAAAAATTTAAACAAATAGTTACAAAAAATTACAAGAAAATCAACAAGTCAAACAATTTAGAAACATGTATGTTTAACCAGAGGTGGTGGAATGCACCAGTAGTCCCAACTACTCAAGAGGCTAAAATGGCAGATCACTTGAGCCCAGGAGTTCAAGTCTAACCTTAGCAATATGGCAAGATCCTGTCCCCCAAAAAGAAAGATATATATATGATGTCTGGTGAATAAAACAAAGACTCTTTTAAGAGAAACAAAACAAACACTTATTTTAAGAGAAAACTAAAAAGCATTATCAGATGGTCATGGCTCAGTGGTAGAGCTCTTTCCTAGCATATGAAAGGCCCTGGGTTCAATTCCTAGCAATGCCAAAAACAAACAAAATAGCACTTACAGCAACCATCACTTGGTAATCTACTTTTGTAACAAGTGTGTGTGGGGAGTGGTTTTACAAGGAATTGAACTCAGTGGTGCTAAACCACTGAGACACATTCCCACCCCTTTTTATTTTGAGACAAATTCTCACTAAGTTGTTTAGGGCCTCGCTAAATTGCTGAGGCTGGTGTGAACTTGCGATCCCCTTGCCTCAGTTTCCCAAGACAYTGGGACCAACTAATTTTTTTCATAATATTTTTAAGACTATTCTTGAGGCTGGGGTTATGGCTCAGGGGTACAGCACTCGCCTAGCATGTGTAAGGCACTGGGTTCAATTCTCAGCACCAATAAAAATAAATAAAGTCATTGCATCCATCTACAACTAAAAAGGAAAATATTTWAAAAAAAAATATTCTTACCTCAGTCATTAGCCATTGTTTCTGCTTGAGTCCAATATCTAAATGCTGTGTTTCATCCAAAATTTCTTCTAAAGTTAGAGGATGTGTATCTCCTCGCTGATGCCGTGTCTATTGAAGGAAGAAGTTATCATTAGAAGAGTTTTTAAATGCTAGATGCATTAAGTCAAAGTGATGCATTAAGTCAAAGTTATGCATAAATAAATCTTTTCAGGAATATAGAACATATATTATTTKAGAGAGCACAATGATATGATAGTGATCAGAGCATTAAGTAAGCTAGCACAGTGGCCCACACCTGTAATCCCAGCAACTCAGAGGCTGAGGTAAGAGGATTTAAAGTTTGAGACCCTGCCTCAAAATAAAATAAAAAGGGCTGGGAGTATAGCTCAGTGGTAGAGCACCCTTGGATTCAATCTGCAATACCAGAAAATTAAAAAAAAAAGTGTGGACAAACCAGAATCAAACCCATGGCATTATGAAGTCAAAGGATAAACAAAAAACACTTGCAATTCATATCACGAAGAATTAATCTTCCTAATATTTCAACAGTTCCAAAACATAATCTCAAAATATAAACAGAAAAAGAAATGCAAATTACTTTTTTTGGTACTAGATATTGAACCCAGGGGTGCTTCACCACTAGGCCAAACACCAAAACCCTTTTTTTTTTCTTTTAAATCGTGGAACTGAAGTGACTGAAGGTCAGTGCATGTTGGTTACCAAAGGAAAATATCAGAAATAACAAGTGGCCATCAATAAAGGACAAACTAAATAAACTACAGCACATTCACAGTAGCCTTCTATATTCAAAAAGGCAGAAGTGCTCTATATGCTAATCAGAAAAGATGTTCAGGACACATTAAATCTAACAACACATGTAAATACCAAATGTTGAAGAATGCAGGGAAGAACAGAAAGTCTCATTCACCCTGGTAGGAATACGAACTGCAACAGTCACTTTGAGACAATTAAGCAATCTGGGGTGCAGGGAAAGTACTGGGGATTGAACCCAACAGCATTCTACCTTTGAGTTACATCCCCAGCCCTTTTTTCTGTTTTTTGGATATTTTAAATTTTATTTTGAGGCAGGGTCCCCGGTGGGCCTCAAACTCRTGATCCTCCTGCCTCAGCTTCCAGAGCAGCTGGGATTATAGTCATGCACCAACTTGCCTGGCTCAGTTTGACACAATCAGAAATATACTCTTACCATTCCATCAAGCTAGCAATCAAGTTCATTGGTATTTAACCAAATGAGCTGAAAATTTATATACACACAAAAACCTGCAAAAAGATATTTATGGCAGCTTTATACCATACTGCCAAAACTTGGAAGCAACCAAGATACCCTTCAGAAGGTGAAAGGATAAATTGTGGTACATCTAGACAATAGAATATCATTCAGTGATAAAAAATAAATGAGCTATCAAGTCAAGAAAAGACATGAAAACAAGAAAAAAAAGACATGGAAGTTTCAATTCATATTAGTAAATGAAAAAAAGGCAATCTAAAAAATGTTTTCTACTCTACAGTTTCAACTATACAGCTTCTAGAAAAGGCTAAACTATGGAGAAAATAAAAAGTCTGGTGGTTGCCAAGGGTTAGAGGGAGGGAGGAACAAATAGGTAGAGCACAGAGAATTTTTAGTGTACTGAAATCACCCTATGATACCATAATGGTGGAACTAACACTATACATTTGTCAAAGCCAGAGAATGTACAACACTAGCAGTGAGTTCTAATGCAAACTATGAACTATGAGCGATGTGTCAATGTAGGATCACTGATTATAACAAATACACTATTTTAATGTGGGATATTGATAGAAAAGCAGGAGGACTGTATAAAATCAGTTTTACACTACGGTTGAAGCCAGAATTAGACAGCAGTCAGTGTAAATAGTTATAAATCAGTCGGGTCAAGGAGGCCAATTTTGAGTGWGTCTGGGAAGTTGGAGACTGTCCCCTGAGGGATCTTATCAAGAACCTGCCCCTGCTCCAACCTGTTGCCAAGGTAACCATCCCAGAAATTCCCCTCCTTACAGGGAGCTATAAGGTTGTTAATATGTCCTTGTCTACTCCATCCTRCCCTTCCCCCTTCAGCCCACCTATTTCCCACCTTTTGGCCATCCCACTGAACATTCCTGGGCCTAGTCACATACGCAGGAAGGAGAAAGATAAGAGGGGAAAGGCAGGAGAACAAAGGAAGCCTAGGACTTATAAAAAGGGTAGAACACCTTGCTTCTTGGGATACCATGATACCAGCTATAGCCCCCTTCTCCCTAGTGGGAGAAGTCTGTTACCCCTTTTTAAATAAATCCTGCTTCATATGCTTGCCTTGGCGTGCTTCTCTAATGTTCAAATTTCAACATGTGGAGAAGTAGGACTCGTCACAGATAACTGGCGATATCACTGTGATCAAAATATCTGACAAGACCTAATTAAAAGAAAAAAGTTTTGGGGGGCTCATAGTCTCATAAGTTCAGTCCATGTTCAGCTGACTCCATTGTTCTAGGCCTGAGAGAAGGCAGAAGAACATCATGGCAGAAGGGAATGGGAAGGAAAGCTGTTCAGCTCATAGCAGCCAGGAAGCAAAGAAAGAGAGCTGGGGACAAGAATTCCCAAAAAATTCCCAAGAGCACAATCACCCCACCCCAATGATCTAATTCTTCTAGCTACATCCCACCACCCAGTAATCATTAGTCCATCAAGAGTTAATCCACAGATTAGGTCACAGCTCTTATAATCTGATCATTTTACCTCTGAACATTCCTGCACTAACATGAGCTTTTGGGGGATACCTCATATCCAAATCAGAGACAGGGGGAATATACAAGAATTCTGTACTTTCTGCCATATTTTGCTGTAAATCTACACCTGTCTAAAAACTAAAGTCTATTTTTTTTAAAGTGAACGTAAAATAAAAAGTACAAGTTAAAAAAAATGTAGTATGAAACTTTTTATATAGGAAAAGGCAAAAATAGTAATATATAAGGCTTGGTATAGTGGCACTTGCCTAAAATCCCAGTGACTCAGGAGGCTGAGGCAGGAGGATAGCAAGTTCAAGGCAATCCCTCAGCAACCTTGGCAAGATCTTTCAGCAACTTAGCAAGATCCTGTCTCAAAATTAAAAATAAAAAGGACTGGTGATATGGCTCAGTGGTGAAGTGCCCCTGGGTTCAATACAAACAAGAGTACAAACAACAACAACAAAGAACATATAGGGGCTGCAGGTACAGCTCTGCGGCAGAGCTCATGCCCAGTATACATAAAGCCCTGAGTTCAATACCCAGCACCCAAAACAAAACAAAAAACATATTTTTCTTTGTTCCTGCATAAAGAACCACAGGAAAAGTCACAAGAAACTGATAAAAAGGGATTACTTGGGGGCTGGGGATATAGCTCAGTTGGTAGAGTGCTTGCCTCACATGCCTGGGTTCAATCCCCAGCACCACGAAAAATAAATAAATGGATAAATAAGAGAGATTACTTATAAGAAACAGGACAAAAGAGAAAGGAAATACGTTTATCAGTGAAAATGAGACCTCTTCCTTTATATCTTTCATACTATTTTTCTTATTCTATTAAGAGATATACTTCTAGCTAGGTGTGGTGGCTCACACCTATAATCCCAGCAGCTCYGGAAGCTGAGGCAGGAGGATCAAGGTTCGAAGCCAGCCTCAGTAACTCAGTAAGACCCTGTCTCAAAATTTAAAAAATAAAATATAAAAGGGTTGAGGATGTGACTCAGTGGTTAAGCAACATTGAGTTCAATCACTAACACAAAAAGAGGAGGGATTAGGGGGAGACAGAAATTTCTTATTCAAAATAAAAATAACTCTCCAAAAGAAAAATTCTTTCATGCTCTAACTTTCATCTCCTTGGGCAAATTACATAAACTCTCCAGTCTCTAAAACTATAATAATCACTTCTTAAAACCAAATGTTTGGAAAGCAGAAAAAGACATAAAGCCTAACACATCACACATAAAAACCATTTACTGAGCATTTGCTATTAATTCATTCACTTATTTAGTGGTAACTATTATGTCCTCGGAATACAGCAATGAGATATACTATGAAATGTGAACTACTACTCTGCCTTTCACAAGGTCCCAATAGAGAAGTTAAATATATATCAATGAATGTTAATGGGCAGAACTTTGAATGATGACCAGAATAACAAGGGAAAGGGAGCAGCTATACAAGTCAGTATATAACTCAGTCAATCTGGATGATTCTACAGAAACTTTGCTAAATTTTTAATCTAAAACTCCCATTAAAAAATTATGCTTTGACTGCAAATTGGTGCAACCAATCTGGAGTACGCAGATTCCTTGGAAAACTGGGAATGGAACCACCATTTGACCCAGCTATCCCACTCCTCACTTTATACCCAAAAAACTTAAATACAATGTACTACAGGGACACAGCCACCTCAACGTTTATAGCAGCACAATTCACAATAGCTAAATTGTGGGTCCAATCTAGATACCCTTCAGTAGATGAATGGGGTAAGAAAATGTGGTATATATACACGATGGAATATTACTCAGCATTAAAAAAGAATAAAATCTGGGCATTTGCAAGTAAATGGATGGAGTTGGAGAATATAATGCTAAGTGAAGTAAGCCAATCCCAAAAAACCAAATGCCAAGTGTTTTCTCATACATGCTGATTCATAATGGCAATGTGGGTGGAGCATAGAAGGAATAGATGAACTTTAGATAAGGCAAAGGGGAGGGACGGGGTATGGGGGTGGGAAAGACAGTAGAATGAGAGGGACATCATTACTCTAAGTACATGTATAAAACCATAAATGGTGTGTCTCTACTTTATGTTCAACCGAGATATGAAAAATTGTGCTCTATTTGTGTAATATGAATTGAATTGCATTCTGCTGTCATATACAACAAATTAGAATAAATTTTTTTTCATTTATGCTTTATGAGCTAAGGTTGTAGCTCAGCAGAACGCTCACCTAGCACATTCGAGGCCCTGGGTTCAATCCTCAGCACCACATAAAAATAAATAAATAAAATAAAGGTGATGTGTCCAACTACAACTAAAAAATAAATATTTTTTTAAAATTATGCTTTACTAATGTTGCAGGC